ACAGTTGAAAAACGAGACATTGGCTATTTGCTCATATTGTCGTGTGCAAACAACAATCATCACTAATTACCAATAGCGACGGTCAAAGTTCAGTTAATTCGCAGAATTAAGATATTTAATGCAGTCTCCAAATTTTGTGAGAGCAAACTTGAAAACATGACAGGAAATCAGCAAACAGGTGATATAATGGTTATGACAACTTCAATGGTCACTCCCATGAGGGGAACAGTATAACCATGCATCAAAGATAAGTTAGAATTGCATCCGATTCCCAAATGTTATGCATTGGAAGAGCAAAGTTAAAACAACAGGAGACTACAGACAAAGCCCAGAAAATAAACTAAATCATAGGTCAAGGTTGTGCAATATTCATACACACACACACACATCAGGGAAAACTGGTCAAGATGCCTTCAATCACTCAACTTCGCTTTGAATCACATTAGTAGAATGCATTCAGCACATGAAACCCCGTTTTGAGTACATCCCATCTTATTCTCCAACTTCCATTTTAAATTATCTATTAGAAGGAGATAGACTTGACGGTAGAGTAAATTAAATAGTGATTCACGTTCAACTGGAATTCATCACGTGGCCAAACTCGAAGAGGAAGACTAAACACCACCATTTCCATAAGTTAGCAAAAACTCCACACTTTCACACAACAAGACTGATTTAAATTAGGCCCTTCTTTCAACATATGTCCATTCCTTGTGACCACAAGAAAAAGAAATATGCATACAACTTCTCTTTCCATTCACGCTCATGTGAGTATGAAGGAAAACAAGAAAGTAAGTATAGATTGGAAAACGAGAAGAAACTAGAAATACGAATCATGGGTCAATTACATATTCACGTACGTCATTAAGGTCTCTCAATATCGAATATATTTAATAAGATTTGAGGAAGGGTGGGAGTGCAAGATTCCAAGCGAGATTCAATTTCACTTCATATCTAAAAGTGCACGATGATACACATACACTAGATCTAAATTTCAATTTGGAACAATAAAAAAGTACTATGCTTTAAGTAAATAGCAAATCAAAGTACCACGAATGCAACAAGCTTCTACGGCTTCAAATGCTCTTATAAAGGACGTTGTTGAACTACCAGCTTTCAGAAAGTACGCATCAATGCTTAATAGATTAATACCAACGCTAGTCTACCTTCAATAGAACGTTAACTTGGGGCATATTCAATTCTGAAAGAACCCGAGGAATGAGCAAACCTCCATAGTACAAGACATTCCCCCCCCCCCTCCTCCTCCTCCATATCAGCACTTTTTTGCTTAAAACTAAGCATCTGTTTGCACTAATAGAATAATTCAAACCAAACGTTTGGGCAAGTTAACAACTAGATGCTAATTTTACGATTTTATTAACATGAGAAGGGGGATGAATCACTGGAGGTAGAAATGTAATGGTCGAGATTTCATCTCCGGTAAACGATAGAGCGCGCAATGAACCTGAACAATAAAATTTCACAACATATTTCATACAGTGGTATAAACGAAAGAAGCCACGCAAAAATTCACCCCAAAAAACACTACCTTGCTAAGAAATGAAAATAGGTAAAAAAGAAAAACAATGAAATGGAAAGCCTTTACACGCAAACATGTCGTTTGCGAATAATAATAATAAATGCAATGTTTAGATAGTTTAACAATTCGACTAATTGGAGCATGTTTGATGTGTGACTGACTATGTAAAAGCCTAACTGCTAAGAAAATTAGATACTGCGGTAACAATTACTACCACATGCAAATTTTCCAAGTGTTCATTTCACCCGATAAGTTACGCTCGCCCCCAATTTGAATAAAATTTACCCTGACTTCCTCACCAATCTTGATATTTTAATTTTATTTATTTATTATTGAAAGATATTGAAAAAGCCCTCATAATACTCTTTGTCCGCCTTAGATAGGAGCGAAAAGTCTCATTAATCCCTTATAAAAGCATCAAACCACCTAAAACACCTTCGTAATTGGGTGCAACATTTTTCAGTACAGTTCCTTTATACTAGTCGATGGGAAGGAAGTCTAACACAGCCAACTGGTAGTATAAAAGATTCCAAATAAAAAGGAGCATCAGTTGATTTAAGAGCATTCTCGCTTTCTCTCACAGGATCTAAGGCAATTTAAACACAGTGGAAAGCGTAGATCATAGAAGTGACCCAAGAGTGGTTACATAGGCCTCCTTTTCTAACATGTTTCCCTTATGTAAATAACATCAAGATTCCACTCTGTCATTGTCCATAAAATTATTTCAAACATTTTTCATTCCTCCCATTACACAGAGAGCAATTTCTCGCGGAAATTTACACAGGACGAAGCCAGAGGGCATAATTTTACCTTTCCGGTTTCATTCAACAAGAATGAGGGCATAAACAACAGGCCATTTATCATTAGGCAGTGGTAATCACTTACGTGAAAAAGAGAGGAAAGGGCGACGCAACTGCAGAAAAAAAGGAGACTGAACGACAACAGTCTAACTTGACGACTCAGTGGACGAGGTTGAATTTGTGGCACCATTGACCACGTGAGCGGTGACGGGTATTGCTGACTCCGTGGCGTCTCCTACAATCGTCGACGAAGACTCAGTAAGTCCATCCTCTGTAGGCTCTTCTCCAACCTCGACAACAGCTTCGGAATCTGAAGCATTGTTAGAGGCTGCTACAGTGCGAAAGGAAAGAGAAGAGATAGATCTACTGCCACCATTCGCCATGATGCCTTGACAGGAGGCCAACAGTTGTTGGAACATTGACAATCTGTTCATTGGATAGAGAACATAGGATTTAGCATATGAAAAGTAAATGAGGCAAGTATAAAGAGCTAAACTCCTGTAGCCAAAACTAAAAAGCATGTAATGAGAATGCTATTGGAATCACATATATAAGTCAATCAAAAGTTATTGCGAACCAGGAAATAGAAAAAAATATGGATAATACGAAATGAAAAAGACCAACATCTAATCTTCTTATTAAAAAAATTATTTAAGCTGGTCTAAAGGAGCATAATCATGGAGATCAATTGGCCAGTCACTCGTTTGCACCTGAGGTTATGTACCCAGTCAACTGTCCCTCATTAATGACAGATAAGAAATTGCTATTGTAAATCGAACATTGAAATATGTTATGTGAAAAGAGTGATATTGTGCAAATCCCATCACTAATCACCCACAATAAGCTCAAGATCCAAAAGAATACTTAGTGAGTAAGGAATTTTACAACAACTCAACCAGCTTTAACACAATTTCTATTTTAATCACTTCTCCATCCCATGAGTATATGCCTTCTACATCAGCCTCAAAGTGAGCCCTCAATACTCTGCCTTCTCACTTATTCAATGTCTCCGAATCAAGGTAATGACTTGCAGGTGAAATGAACATTCATATATCCACATAAAAGCACCATCGATTTAAACAATAAAAAGCAGCTGACATACTAAAATCATTCTCACCTTAGCAGGCACACTCACTCAACCGACAATACACCTACACATTTGCCATCATTTCGTATCAAATTATCTCAACGCCGATAGCAACACTTCATCCTCAACCATCTCCAAATCATCATATTAATAGACATTGACCTAATCTCACAACCAAGTACACCTCGTTTTCACTGTTGTAAGCTATGCCGTTGAGAAGTGGTGATATCACTACTTCATTGAGTTCACCTTGAGTAACCTTGTTGGGCAATCATACCGAATAGTGCGATGAACTCCAGTGAAACCACAA